CTGGCACTCTGCACAGCCACTTCCCACAACTGGAACCCCTGGGGAAGCCGGGGATGGCACTGGGAATGGACAGGTCTCACTTTCTGATGCTCAAAGGTATAATAATCAGAATATACACCCTGCTGGAGAGGGAGAGAGAAAGGGAAGAGGGGAGAGGAGGATAGGGAAGCAGGATAGGAAGGAGAAATATTTACCTTCAGGAAATCAAAAGAAAACGCCCTGGTTGCTGCTGCTTCCACCTGGACTCTGCAAGGCACCCAAACATTAAGGGAAGCAGGGAACTGGAGCCACTGGCTTTTGAGCTACACAGCAGAAGGTGCGGTGCAACCACACCATTGCACCCTTCCTGGATCCACCCCTTGGGGCAACACATGCTGGAAGGGAGTATGCAGGCACTTAGAGGATTGTCCCTTTCTGGCTGCAGCCCTTGGTGCATTTCCAAAGCCATCCCTAGAGTCTTACATATAGCAGAGGGATGTAGAACCAAGGTTGCAATCCACACCTCTCATCTGATACCTCTTGTCTAATTCAAGCCTCTCCATCCAGACCCTCCAGGCCCACCCGTTTGAGAGCCAATTCCGATAAATTACCTTCTTCCATTACCATTGGGCCCTTTCTAGCAGCTGACTCTCTCCCTGTGGAGATCTTGGTGTTGAGAATTGTGAGCTCTCCAGACATCTCCCAGCTATTAGGGAGTAGGATACAACCACTGGTCAGTGGCTTTCATTACTCTGCAGCCTCCAACTCCTCATGAACCGGGTCCACTGTAACCATCAGCAGCAATTTCTTATACTACAGAAATGGTGGACCTTCAGCTTCCTGGTGATTGTTCTGTGGTGAATACAGGGTTCATTAAGGAGCCATTAGGGTTTATTACCAGCCTGATCTTTGGTTACTACAATTGCATTTCTGCTTCTCTTATTAACTCAGAAGAGAACTGGAGTCACGTCCTGCCCAGATTCACACAGCACAGAGTCCCACTGAATCAGTGGAGAAGCAGAAGCTAAAAGCCAAACAGGAATTTTAGCAGACAAGGTTCTTTGTCTGCCTGTGTCCGTAGACCAACATGGCTTCAAGCTACACCCTCGAAACAGGAACTTTCCCTGTTTTGTTTTTTCCCATCTCCTGGGCTTTGGTTGCTTGGTTCAGTCCTCTTTCTGGAGCCCCAGTTCCTATAGTATTAAGAATATGTATCGGCAGGGGTTAGCAAAGGAAAACTCATGTTGCTGTTGGATACGCTCTACATATATCATAAACCCAAGTCACCTTAAATGTTGATGGATTTTCTACTTTCATCCAAGAGTTAATCTCCTAGATATCCGCCTGATACGCATTTTTTTAAATGTAATTGTATAGTGGAAACTCATTTTTACCTTAATATGTGGAATGGCCAATATGAATTTTTATTTAAGCATTTATTAATTGTATATGCTAGCTTCCCCAAAAAGTCTCAGAGCAGCTTACAAAAAAAAAAAAAAAGGGAAACTAGATGATAAAAATAGAATAAATATTGATATAGAGAAGTATGTAAAAAACACCAACATCCCCAGACACTGCTTCAAAACTGAAGTCTTCCTGTTAAAAACCTACCCAGATAAAAGCTCCCAGACTGTTTTTAGGAGATGTCCAGGCTCAGGCTATGGCCCCAACAGAGAGCAAGTTCTGGAGCTGAGTAGTGATTACTGACAATGACCTCTCTCTTTTTTTTTTTTTTTTTTACATGTAAAATGATATTTTTTGTATAAAAGACCACATTTGTTTTAGGTACTGTTCTGTTGAAAAAAATTAGAATTAACCAAAAGGACATTGTCCTACATTTAAAAAAGCAATTGTATCAAAGGTCTCACAGCTGCAGTTTCCAAGGACACTTTAGTTCCAGTTCTGAAGAATGACCTAAACATGCTATGAGCACTTCACTAGCATTCTTGTTCCATAAGTGACTGCTTTCAATTACAGGCCATTAAACACAAACCAGGTTTTCCTGTTATTTAGCTTAATCCATGTCTGCTTCCTTCGCAGACTGAAGAAGGGCACTTTGTGCCCACAGGCTTACCCAGCATCTCTCCCAATTATGCATTTAGTCCAATAAAAGGTATCACAAAAAAAAATCTTGCCTATCTTTTAGGATAGCCTTTATTCTATCAATCAGGTGATCAAGCTGACTGATACAGGGGATGGGTGCAAAGGTACAGTAATCCCAAATCTTTGTAAATTATGCATCTTTTATGCATAGTTTACTCCTGTCAGGATTAACTGGGCCATAGGCTGTCACTCAGTGAATTACCATAATCAGATTGGGGTCATACTATGTATCTCTCAAAGTCCAGGTCTTCAGGGTAAGGGTTGAGGCAGTATTGTGGTCAGGGAGGAAGGTGATCAGAGTAGGGAGGACCAAACAGAGCAGAGGTAGGGATTGTGGTGAGGGTAGAATCAAGCAGGAACAAGACGGAGGGGCAAGGAGCACACACACAGGCAATGTTGCTGGGACATGTCCCACAGGAAGTAGATGGGGTATTATAGTCCTCTTATCAGGGGTTTGTGGTAGCTATAAGTTCCCCATGGTCACCAGACTCCTAATTAATATCCTTATTGGAGGAACCAGGCTGGGCTAGGACTTATCCTGACCAGGTACATAGTAGTACTGAGGACCCATCCTCTATCTCCTGGCCTGGCCACACTGATTTCAAATCCCTTTGGTCCTAACAATTCCCTGAGTGATCCACTCACAACCTAATATGCATTCAATTGTGTCAATACAGTTTCTGATTCCAAGTTAACTAGTCAGTCTGAATACTGAAAATGTACCATGAATGCATGCTTTTAATAGCTAAACTGCTTTCACATTCTGCTTTTTAATATATTATTCATTTAAATTATTTCTTGCATGCCTGTCTTGACTCGACTGGCACCAGCTTGACCAGGTTCAGACTGATTAGTTCTTAGTGTTTAATTTTTCTTAGTACTTTCTGTGCAGGGTCCTGTACATTATTACATCATGATTCACCAAGACCTTGCCACTACTTTTTGGTTCAGTAATTCAGCAATTGTTTCCATGGCTGGTACTTTCAAAATAAATTTTTTCCAGCATTTTAACTAGGCCTAGGCATCTTTCTTATCCAACTGTCATGAGATGATGTAGGTGGAGGGAGAGATGCCAGCATATCATGAGAGATCCAGTTTGGCAAGCAAGTGTGGCCTTTAGGAAGAATGGGACTATAGGGCACAGAACTGGAATTCTGTGAGCAATTTTGGTGGAAGTTGAGATTAGGTGCAATGCAACTTAAAAACAAATTTTGTTACATGTTCAAAAACAAAATGATTCATTTAAATTTGGCAAAGCTGGCACATTTCTGTTCAATTGATTATTTTTTCTAAAAATTTCCTTTTGTTCTAATTTCCCACAGAAATTCTGCTTTTCACTTTATTGTAATCATGCCTTTATAGCAATGCATTTGTCTTGCTTTTTGTATGATGTGTCTGCATGTAGCATTCTACTTGAGCTAAAAATCCTGGTTATTGCCATACCAATCCTATTTTTATAGGTATGGAAATAACTTCAAGACATCACCAAGTTCAACCCCCTGCTTGAACCATACCAGTCAAACATATAACTTGATATTGAAAACTTCCAAATCTCTCTCTCTCTCTGTGTTTAACCACCCTCATAATTAAAATGTTCTTCTTAATGTGCAACATATATTTCTTGTGCTTTGAAATTTGAAACCATAATAAATTTGCAAATGCTTTATCAAAGGTGAATTAATGAGAAATAAATGTTTTAATAAATTATGGTAATGTTTGTAGATCATTGTAGCGTACAGTGTAGCAATAAAGGAGTTAATCTATAAACAGCTAATACTGATTTGCTTCTTATGATGACATAATATAGCTTATATCTGCACCAGGCTTAGAACATTTATTACATATCATTTACCATTTCCATTAAAAAAATGTTAAATGTGACATGATCTGTCCATTTCATAACATGTATATATTACCCAGTTTTATGTAGAAATAAAATCTATAGAAAAATTCAGATTGGATCAGTATTACCATACTAACAAATTGCCTGTCAAGAAAGACAGGGGGGAGGGAAGGGGGGAGGGGAAGAGCCCTCTCGAGGGCACATGTACAGTTGGCCAGAAGCATTACAGACAGACACACAGACACACAGACGCACAGACAGACAGACTAAGCCCTTTATTATATTAAAATTGTATTGCATACAACATACCCATCAAAAGGATACATGCCTTATTTCTGAAAGGCAGAATGAAAAAGAAAAGATCTCTCCCTGAAAATACAGGTAAGTAGTTGTAACTGAATAGCAGCTTCTGCAGTGTATCCTTCTGCTAGAGGAATGGGAAAGTGTGCACGGCCAAGAGAGCCCCGCATGCTCACTGTGCTGCCCTTGTAAACTACATGCAGCACCACATTCCCACCCCCAGCAAAGGCTCATGCTGCAGAATCTGCTATTATCATAATTCCTCATTTAAAAAGTGCACCCAAATTTCCATGAGCTGATTTTTAGGCAGGAAGTTATGTTATATGCAAGAAAACCTGGTATTAAAATATCCCCATGGATCTCAAATTCCTCCCAAATAATTCATTTACATGTAACACAGTAATCTAAATCATTTTAAGAACTCAATACCTAAACATCTCCTATCATCATGTCATCTCGGCACTCTCTTGTATCCTATTACCTCTTCCCTCCCAACTCCCTTCTCAAGTATTTGTACATCATCTATTGACCAGGAGGTTTTACCTCAATCATACAAAAGAGGAAAGTAAGTTTCCCCATTTAAGACCCAGTGCAGTTTAAGACCCATTTGCAATTCAGCCCAACCCAGGACAATACCACACATCAATCTTGGGAATGTTTGTCATCCCTGAATGTGACGGCGGCGCACCGCCACGGGCACGAGACGAGGCGAGGGCAGGCTGCAGGGCTTACAAAACCCCGGAGGAGGAGACTTAGGAGACCCGGCGGTGCTGGAGCTGAGACTGCAGTGGCAGCTGTATCCGCATTACGCCAGCTATTTAAGCAGCTGTTCCCAGTGAGGGAGACAGCCGGGATAATCGCAGCAGCCGGCATAGCCCCTGCAGGAAAGTTTGAAAACCTCAACAGCGCCCGCGGGAGGCGGGGGGAGCCAGAAGGATGGGGGGGGCAGCGGCAGTTCACAGTCCGCAGCTGGTCCGTAGTTGTAGCCCGCAGCACGCCTGGCGTGCTGAGGCTCCTGCTGGGTAGGGGAAGCCTCTAAGCCCCTAACGGAGGCAAGCAAGGGACAGTCTCCTCCCTCACAACAGACAGCGAACGAGAGGCTAGTACTCCCCTTGGGAGGTGGGAAGGAAGGGGGACGCCGAGGCCTCTTGCAGCTACCAGGCTTTCCCGAGGGGAAGTAGAGCCGGGCCGGATGCAGAAGCCACTGGATAAGGGAAGGCAGCTCCGTGACTCTCTCTGCCCAAGGGGAATATTATTTCTAGAGAAGCTAGAGAGGAAGGACACGGAGAAATACAAGAAGAGTCGAAAGATAGAGCGAGAAAAGAGGAAGGGCTGACGGAGCGGTGTAGCTGAGTCCGGGCCTCTGCATTTGTGAAACCAACGGCGGGCAAGCCCGCAGAGGCCCGAAGATCAGCGTCCCACCAGCACGGGATCGGTTGGCGAGTGGATGGGGTGGCGGAACAAGGCACGCAACAGCTGTGAGTACACCCCTGCGGTGTCGGGGAGCCCCTCTGAGAAGAACTCCACTGGAACCTTCTCATAAGAATTTACCAGTAAAGTCATGGCAGGCGGGACGAGGGGAGGGGCTACCTCACCGACAGGCGACACCAGACATAAGACGTCCGTCATCACACTGAATACTTAACATTGCTGCTGAGTTTTCTAATCGAGGTTAAAAACCACTGTAATACCTTCCTATTTGGGAAAAGATTTAGCAAGGCTAAACAAAGACATTGTTTAGAGATTTTTCCCCTATTTTATTCCACTTGCTTTTATACATCATCCTGTCTGTTACTGTAGGCCACTCAGAGTCTCTGTGGAGAAAAGTGGCATATAAATCAAATAAATAAATAAAATGTCTGCCAAGGCACCGGAATATTTCCAGCTGTTGCAATGTGGCCGTTTCTTTAAGGGTATCTTATCTCCCCATATGCCTGGATTTGAAACGGCTAAACGTTTCCTGGTATTTTTACTTTCACATTTCAAACTGGTAAGTGCTGCTGAAGGAAGTGTATTTCTGCATTTTGAGACAAAAGAGAATATTTTAAAATCTGAAAAGAAAGACTGCAATCAATTCCTCTACTGAGTTTATAGCCAAAATCAGCAATCTACTTGATGGGCTGAAATAATTTACATTTTAAATAAGTAGCTTGAGAAAATAAAGACCGATTTTGGACAAACCAGGCACACTATCAAGTCCTTAACTTTTCTCAGAAGGGTCACTCAGGTAGGTGAATTTTGACTGAACTTCATTCAAAATATTTCACTTTCATAGCATTGTAATTCCTGATTTTAAAATTATGTTGAATTCCAGAATTTTGTATTTTGTTGTTCTGTGTTAAAAGCCACTGTGTTAAAGTTGTTCTGTGTTAAAAATCACTAGACCTTACCCTTCTCTCAGCGAAATAACAGGGACATGTGCAACAAAAATATTGTCCTCTATCATCCTTCATTATGGTATTTTTCCCTTCCTTTTGTAGTTTTCAAGCTCTAAATGAATTTAGGGCTAAATACTTTCTTCCCCTTTAAAATATATGAAGAAACAGTATTCACAAAGTCAAAACAGGAAGTTTTATCTTATATTCCACTTTGGGGTTTTCAACCTTTTTAATAAGTGTCCCCCTTCTGATGCAGGGTTTCTGCTCCTGTACCCATTTATATTTTTTTCTTGTTGTTAAGGGGGGGGCAGGGGGAGGGAAGATAGAGGCCTCTGCAGTGACGGAGGCATTGGGGCTGAGGCAGCCACTGCACTGTTGGGGTGGGGCACAGGACAAAGCTCCGAGTGTCTCATCCACGGGGCATGGGGAGGAGTGGGATGGGGTGGTTTCCACCGCTAAACACCCTGGGAGGGCATGGGGGGCATGTACCCCCAGATCTATGCAGGCCAGGACGGGGTGCCCCAGTGGTGGGGGAGGGAGTGGGGCAGGCTCTGCAGCTGGGGCAGGGCGCAAGACTGAGCAATGCACATGGGGAGAGAAGCTCCTGCCACTACACACACCCCTAGAAGGGCATGGGGGATGCATGGCCCCAGATCTGCGTGGGACGGGGGCAGGCTGCAGCTGGAAGATGAGGCCAGGGTGGCACCAGGCTCTTCCTGGCAGGGGACTGGGCTGCACTTGGGGCAGGCAGCCATGGCACTAGGAAGGGAGGTGGGGGTGCTACGGTGAATTCTGGAGTGGCAGCAGCCCCTCCTGTAGCCCCACTCCCATAGGCCCCTGTGGTGAGGGAGGAGTGGGGCTGGGGCTGGTGTAAGTGCTGCACAGCCAGGTGGACCGTGGGATGGAGCCGCGAGTGACTCATCCGAGGGGCACAGGCTGGGGGGGAGGGGGCTCCCATTGTTTCATGCACCCCAAGAGGGTACGGTTGGTATGTGCCTCCCCTGGATCTGCACACGGGGCGAGGCTGGGCTGTGGGCCACTGCAGGCTGGCGCAGGGGTAGGGCCAAGCTTTTCCTGGTGGGGAAATTGAACAGGGCTGCATTGGGAGCAGGGATGGGAAGGGGCTACAGCAAATTCTAAAGTGGCTGCAGCCCCTCCCGTAGCCCTTTCCCAGTGCCACCGCCACCCACCCCAAGTATAGCCCGGCCCAGCCCAGCCCCCCAAGAGGAATAGGCTGGCTCAGCCCCAGGCCCAGGCCAGCCTGTGCACAGCTCCAGAGCCACGCCCCCCCCGGGGG